AAGGTAAAGGTAAAGGTAAAGGTCTCTATTTCTCTAAACAACATACGTGTTTAGTTACAATTTTAAGGTTGAAATCAGACAGGCGCCTCTGGCAGCCGTGTTTAGTCCGTAGCGATTTCACCTACCCACCCAACCCACCCCAGGGAGGACATCCATCACACAGTAATCTCGTGCGTGGGAAATTAACGTCTCCTACCCCAACCCTGCAGGAGACGGGACCTCCATTTATTCGTCCCTATCCGAGAAGACTAGAATATCTAACCATTTCTTGATGTTAAAGAAAGGAAGCATATTCTTCTCAATTAATTTTAAGACCCTGAGTGTTGGTCCGGCCGGTATTGAACTCTCGACCTCCCGCACAGCAGTCTGGCGCTCTCCCAATTGAGCTAACCAGGAGGCGGTTATAATGTAAACTTACCACCGTAAAGAGTTTTCCAAGCTGACCCTCACTACTAGAAATCCGAGAGATTATTATTGATCATATTTCACTTCCCCAGGCCTTCAAACATTGCGAGGAAACAATGACAAAGAAATATATGGGATGAAAATAAATATCAGGATCACTGACCCATAAGCGGGGGTAAAAATCTTGCACTGCTCCTAAAAGAAGGAGAACATCTTTACAATAATAAAATATCGTTCTGTGGGTGATTTTTAAAAGTTCAGTGTTGACAAATTTTGATTCAAAATTTAACCTAAGACTCAAATCGTCTCACAAAGTATCAAATTTCGTCAAATATTACTTGGGAAAAGCTCAATTCTGGATATCAAAATCAAACTGGTATCAAAATCTACTACTCTCAGGAGCACCGTCTGAAAACAAAGCTGTAAGAACCGCCAAAAAGTTCCTGTAGTCGACTTAAAAGTTCGGAAAAATTTACGAATTTGAAGAGCGATCATTCGCTTATTCATCTATTGCGCTGTTCAGCACACATGAGTCACAAAAAGGCGAAAAATATAGAAATAACTCGCCGTATCAGCCTATTTACTTCGTGGCTTTTGTAACCATTTTGGAAATGTAGCCGGGCATTTTTATGGTAGGTACTTCATATGGGATTTATCATAGTGTATACGCGAATACGCTGGTCATAAAATCAGCAGTATATTTTCCAGTGTTGTAAACAGTGAACTATGAGGAACTATGAGGAAGGGAGTATAAGCGTGCGTGCGTGCGTAGGTAGTTGTGACATTTCCGCCTGGCAATTTAAATTTAAATATTAGAACATTGTTATAGCATCTGCAATGCATTTCTCTACTCGATTTTAAAGTTCAAACCACGTCTTGTTTATTAAGCGATCGTGAGAGGCAAAAAGTTGCAGCCAATCTTTGAATTAGCAGCCCAGAAAAAAATTATCGCAGCCGGGAAGATGTTGACGAATCTCAGATTGCCCTTTCAGTTGAAATACCGTATTATCTTCTAAAAGAATGGCAGGGAAAAGTTGACAAGAGCGATTCTGAAATTTAGCGTTCCCTGGTCACTGTGCCCGAATTAGCCAAGATTCAGGGCAACGAATAAATAACAACTCAGCAGAACAGGCAGGATCTGCAAGAACCAAGTACAGAAATTCGAAGAATAATGGAGAGAGACGTCAGCTTGATCAGAAAACCCTTAAAGTTAGCATCTTTCGGCATGAACTTGTATCACTCAAAGGTGTTGAGGAAGAACTAATGGGTTCAAGACAAGAGATCTAGGAATAGAAGAGATAAATTGAAGACTTGAGACCTTTTAAGCTTTCTTTTAAAAAAGAAAGAACCAGTAAAAGAAATTAATGAAGACGAGCACGTGAAGGGAAAAGATGAGGCGATAGCCCAGTTAAGAGAACAAAAACCAAGAGCTGTTTCAGTGCATTAATCAGCTTGAGGAAAGGCTAGGGGAGGTAGGGTGCACTGGAAAGGAGCCGGCCGATATACGCGCATGCGTACATGCGTGCGTGTGTGCGTGCGTACGTGTGTCAGTGCTTACGTACCTGCGTTCCTACGAGCGTGCGTACACACTTTAGTATGTTTTTATGTAGGGGTGAAGTGATTGTAAAAGAAGAATCAGCTTTAGACATTTAGACATAGAATGGCATTCTTTAGTCAAGATCAATTAGTTTGACTAGAGGTCCTATATTTTCTGGCAAAGCACTCCTTTCAAGAATAGCTAGGTTTCCTTCATGATTTCATGTAACTCCAAAAGCTATTTAAACCAGGTGGAATAATGCAGGAACAACCATACAGGTTTCCTTTTCTTTTTTTCGTATCCTTATCAATTTGGTGGTGAACAAGGGGCGGGGAGGGATAGATAGTTAACAGTGGCTTTTTAAAACCTGTACAAGGACAGGACAAGTAAGCAATATGCTGTGGGGCTTGCTCGGCTTCCTTAAGGGATTGGATTAGGCCTGAAACTGTGTTGTCAGTGCTTCACTTTCATTTTGCTTACATTAGGTATGCATATTATTTGTTATCATCACCATTATCGTCATCGTCGTCGTCATTTATAAGGCCATCTAATAGTCTTCCGGTAAAGTGAATTACTGCCCTCGAGAGACGGGATGAAGAGCAGTTTGCTTTATTTTTTCTTTGACTAATTATAAAGCAACATGACTCGATAAAAGTCACCCTTTGCTGATTTTCATCGATGAAAGAAAACTTTTTCCTGCATATGTAACCATTAATACCAGTATCGGGTCAGTATATGCTGAACGTACCTACCTTTATCCTAAAGCTCCTCGGTCTTGCAATCGATGCAAGAAAATAAGTTGACCTGGTCTAAGGCCAAGAAAAAAACACTTGCAATTTTTTGGGGCAAGAATTAGTTTAAGTAAGACAGACGAACACCAAGTAAGAAAGAAAAAGACCCAAAAAGAACAGCAAACGGACACAATGATGAAGAACAAACTGCAAACATTGGTTAACGTCTGTAAGACATACCAACTGCCAAAACAAGCTAGATAAGCGGGATTCTCGATGGATCTTGTTTACAGCATCTACCATACAAGTTTTCCTTTATGGGTGAATGGTGGTTGGGATTAAGTTCAACTAATAGCTTTGAACCAATAGGCTTTTAGCTTAAAGCAATCATGAGGTTTCCACAAACATTACATCAAATAAGTAAAACAAAAGAATGGCATGGAGCTAATATATTGTAGAAACAATGCCGACAACGGTTTACAAATATTTTGATAAAATTTTATAGAAAATAACACTAGTGAACGTTAATTATATAAAGGAAACCGAATAAGACTTGAAAGAAATTAAATCTATAAATCTGTATAATTTTGACCCATGCATCAGATGATTATGGTGAGGCACAAAGACATTTGTAGACCAACAGAGGGTATCACCGTTTTTTAAAGTCAATGAGTATAAATGCAGTGATGATATGTATGTTAAGTATAGACAGGTACCACATAAAAACGGGTTCTTTCATCGATCCAAATGTGACTATGGACCTGTCCAGTCATGCATTTCGTCATTAATCTTACTCTGATAGGTTGATAGGTTTGATAGGTTTTTTCCTACGCTTGATGAAAGATCTAGAAATGCACTTGGCTATATGTTAATGTTGTTTTTTCATGATATACTCGAGATGCTCATTTGACTATAATCTTCAAGAGTTCTATCTGTAAGAGGATTTTCTTTTTTTTTATCAAATTAAGGTTCAAAACAAGAGTTCTAATTTCGGAAATTTGTCGTTATGATGGATGCTTTCAAGTTATCCCGGTTATGTCTATTTCTTGTGCTGTTATCTCTGTTCCAGTCGGCGACATCAACCACGTGCACCTAACCTTCAGCTCGATAAATGATCGACATCTTCCAAGGAAGAACAGTAAGTAAGACAACTTCTAAGGAAACACCGCGCACACTTACAGTCAACCATTTCAGTGAGATTCAAGTTTTTTTGGTAATTTTGTAGAAAAGTCGTCGAACTTGTCAAAGCAGCAGCATACAAAATAAACCTTCGAATCAGCTGTTCAAGAATTTTGGCCCCTCATGTACACTGATCAGCTATATTGTCTAACTGCTGAGCGAGATGTTACATACTCACGCTTGAAGGGGTTCGAACACAGACCAATATGGAGGCGGCATAGAATTTGCTGACGTTTGAACAGTTTCGTTGATCCACTTTTCCCATCTTTTTGGATGCCTTATGGCAAACACCATTTGGTCGTCCTTCCCAGTGGCTGTGTCGACGAAATCGATTATCAAAGCGCGAGACAGTCTCCGAGCTCTGCCAACTTTTACGGTTCGAATGTTTTCAACGCGCGTTTCTACCTGCATGTCTGGAGCAACGTAAGTAAACCAAAGCACATTCGCCGTTAAAATAAGCGCTCCATTTCCTCTTATTTGAGAGCCATTGGACCTAAGATATTGAAGATTGGCCCAGAATATTTCTTTGGCAATGATGACGCTTGAATCATGAAATCGTTGGTTGACTCGTTCTTCTAATAAGGCGACAGCCCATGAAAAACAACTAATTGCACAACAGCCCATGCTTCCTAAAACGACAAAAAGTAAACACTTTTGATTGACGAAGAAGGAATCCCTACTGGAAACCAGTTATCCCCCACTTGGCCCTCACCAGGCCAATCTCGTTTTAATTCCGGTAATTCTATTGTAGAGATTCAGAACCCTAGCCACTATAAATTTCTGTCTGATGTATTTCCGTCAAAATTTGAATTGGAAACGCCAGAGTCAGTTAATTACGAAATGCATGGTTGGGCAAATTTACATTTGGATGGGTAGAATAACCTTCTTCTCCTAGTAGCTGTCTATACTTTACTCAACCCTCGTCACTCCATTCTCCCTTTACTCTCATCTGACCAAAATTAATTTCTTCCGTGACAAAAAAAAAAAGATCAAGTGACTCTGTCTATAGGTCCACAAATTTCCTTCTTCCCATCTTTTTACGTCTGATGTATAGCTTAAGATTACATTTATGAATCTAGTTTCATCCAAGTGTAATGATTTGACTTGCTGAAAGCATGCTATTGTATAAACAATCCATATTTCAATAAAAAAATATGTCAGTTATATATGAATTACAAAACGTGTTTGGTAATCACTTTCCCTGTCGAAAGAGTTGCCTAAAAAGAATCAATGTGCTTCGAATAGACGTCCTTAACCGTATCGACAATGTGATTAATTCAACATTGGTCGAAGTTCTCTGATAACGATACCAGCCTGCTCTATTTCAAATACAGTCAAAAAATTAGCTGACTTCGTTTTAGCCGATCAAGTGTATGGGATGTTACAAACCTTTATGTTTCCAGGTTTCTTGTGTGAGTAATGAGATTTGAAAACGACCACGGTCGACTAATATTGACTTTGATAATTCACATAGTCATGACAATTGAAAGCACACACGCATAACTTTATACCGCTGTTTCAGATCGAGGCAATCTTGAAAAACATCCGTCATGTAGTATGAAATGAATTATATCGGAACATAGCTTTCAATATCATCGATAAAAAGAAGCACCTTTAACAACAAAGCATGTTTTTAATGGCGACTAGGACTGAAGAGTAGATCCTGTCGGGGCGTTTATCCAGTAAATAACGATGCAGTATATTGATCAGAAGGAAGGAAAATATATAAAAAAAAAAAAAAAAAGCGCGCGAGGAAAAGAGGAGAGAGACTTGGAACTGCAGCATTACTTTAATACTGCCTACTCTTTCTTTCTTCATCCCTTTCTTTTTTTCTTTCTTTCTTTCTTCTCTTCCTAAATTTAATTTCCTTTGCTTTGATGGCAATATCGAGCCATTGTTACACCTTAGAAGTTAAAATAGCATGTTGTTAAAGTCAAGACAAAGGCTTTTATAACTGTTTCCATTTTCTTTCTGCACTTTTATAGATTTTTATCCGAGTGGAATCATTTGAGCAGAGAGTTCTGTCAGAATGTTAAATATATGCTTTATTACTTTATCACCAAACGAAATTTGTTTCATCACAAGTTGTAATAGAAAATTATTTGACTGACAGCAGTCAATCTCTATTGGTAATAATATCATCAGTGCGGACAGGTCCTCAATTATGCTCAGGATAGTTTCTACATGCATAACTCCTCCAATTAATGTTGCACGATTTTCCTGAAGCCGATCAACAAACTTTTTTTATCCACAAACTAGAGGTATCCATTTGTACGTTGAAAAAACTCTTCATATTCGAGGCGTGCATTTCAGAATAGACGTTATCTTTTTACATACATGTTCAACACTACTCAGATACACCACTTGATGCTGATCTAGCTAACTTGAACTCATTTACAGTTCTGAAAGTTGCTGTTTTCAGCCCCTTTGATGCTAGGCCATTTACTGAAGGAAACAGCCGTACAGCTCTACCCTCATTGTTCTGTAGTTACTTCTCCAAGTCTTTGGACAGGACCTTACAAAACGAGCCCTGATGTGTTGTGACAACACATGAGAAACCACTGTTTCCTGATCATTGTTGCCTTGTAATACCTAGAAATATAGGCAAAGTTGGTGCGTCAGCTAAATGGTTGACCTTGATCTTTGCGAATTCATTGAATTAATCTTCGGTTGTATGCTTCAAAGAATAACCATATGGAGGAATTGAAGTTCGTTTTAAGGCGCTGCATGATATTTTTCATGTTACTTTCCAAATATTTAACTTACATTGGGTCATTTTAAAAGCAAAAATCAAATGCCAACTCCTGACTTACCTTTTCAACATTGTTCTCTTTGTACATCACCCGGTCGGTCTCTCCGTTGGCACGCGATGAAATCATGTAAAACCTTGTATACTGGTAGGTTCCTGTTTTTCCCAGTGTAGCGACTTTCTGGATTACTGCGTCCTTTCCGAGATAAACTTGAATCCAGAGCTCATTATCAACGGTGCTTGCACTCCATGCCCTGAGGGAGTTGAGGGGAACGAGATGGGCAGGAGTATTCTCGTACTCGATGGATGAAGCACTAAAAGCTGAGTCTGGAATCCTTCCATCCTCAAGACCTAAAGCCTCTATGCATGTTAAAAAAAACAATTAAAAAAGTTATTATCTGTAAAAAAATCAAATCAGTTATTTGATAGAATATTCCCTTGTCACCCACATATCTGGAGGAGTGGCAGATCCTCCATCCTACACCTCCCCTCCAGCCCAAACCCCCTCCTTCCTCCCCTACCACGAAGAAAAAAAGGCATGCGATAAGCTACATCGAGCAACGCCCAAAGTGGGCCACAGAACCAGTTGGTCTCTTGTGCTTGTCCTAGTAGAGTTCAATGAGGCGAACAAGATAGGGAGATGCATCAGCTCTATCGACAGATGAGGCACTTATGGCAAAGTCCGGAATCGTTCCATTGTCAAGACCAACGGCTTCCATCCGTGCTTGTAAAAGAAAGCTCATTTAACGGGAAATTGAAAGAAAAAGACATTCCTATTACCTTTGCACTTTCTCCCACCCTCCACAAGTTGACATATCTTCTCTTCGAAGTTGCTCTGACACCCTTAGTGAAGAGCGTAGTCATTGTCCTAAAAACAAACCAAATGCGTAAGAAAACAGGATCGGGAGAAATCAATAATAGATGAACTCATCCAAAGTTGTTTTAAAAGCCTCACTATAATCGTTTACATTACACTATAGTGTTTAAGAATATATTGTTTGGGGATTTTCCATCTTCTCGAAGATGACACTGCAGCTTGAAAAGCACTGATTCTTTTCCGTCTCATCATACCTTTCCTTTGATTCTTATGTAACAGATCTGGTTAGCTGAGAAAGAGAGAGAGAGTTCTTTGACGGAAAAATAGAACTTAATCAATTTAAACGCAATAAAGCACATTTCCATGAAGAATACAAAGTGAATGTAAGTGTCAGAGTGCAGTTAAAGACTATCAGATAACAATTCCTTATTCAACACACCTACCACACTAAACGCGCACGGAATGGATCTTAAAGACCTTAAAGCTTCCCAGTTATAGCTTTAGTTATCGACATATCGGCATCTTTTTGCCTTTCATTTGAGAGTTTAAGTTTTGCCCCTGATTCTAAAAGATGTTTACCTTTTTCACCAAACTTTCATTTCTAGTTTTCTAACAAAACTAATTTAACATAGTGCACAGATAGCCTGTATTAATCATACGATCGATCCGGCACATTTAATTATAAAATTCCAAAGTCAAAAATTGAAGTTTCGTATACAAGTAAATCTAAACAATGGAAAGATATGGTTAACCGTTGCTGCAGCTATCTCCTTCAAGCTTCACTTTTGTGTCACTATCATCCAAGATATCTCCTGATCAGGTGAAGCAGGTTGACTGAAAGTCATTTTAGACCTTTCTTGAACGAAATGAAGCTACTTAAGACGTGTAGGGTGTTTCTCCATGAAAAATAAAGTAATAAAGCCTCCTAAAGACAATTTGATGATTTTTCATTATTTAACACTGGTGGAAACGCAAAAGAATAGATAATCATTCGTTAGCCAGAGCCATAATCATGCTTTGTTTAAAGATCGAGAATGGCGGACGTTAGAGTCTTTCAATAATTCAAATGATGAACAAAAAATCTTAAAAGCAATATCTTGAATGGCAAGATAATTTTTTATCACAAATCAGATTTTAAAACCTTCTTATCTTGGTGATTTTATTTGTGAACTGATCGTGCTCGTCGCTAACCTTATTTTCATGCTCTAAGTTAAACTTCTTTCATTTTGAATAGTCACCCCTAAAAGGTATATGAATAACTTATTCTAGCATGTTCTAGCTCAGCAGGTTTTACGTCGACGCGAAATAAAGATCCTCTTGGGCGAAGTGCTATAATTATGTATTGATAAGAGACACAAAGAGAAATACAGCTGGTTCTAAAATACTCAAAAGATGAAATTCTTTAGGCCAAGATCCGCCGACAAGCATAGTTCTCATTTTATCAATGTGAAATTTTCGGTGTGCAGGCCCACAATGGGCTCCTTTAGGCAGGTACGGAATAAAAAGCTAGTATCATTAATTATCATCACGCAATCCCATACAAAATCATAATGAAAGCTGACGTGTATAGGGCCGGACGTGCTGACGTGGACCGGTCTGGAAAAAGCCGTTTCGCCCTTGCGCACTTGTACAGCTTCGTTGCAGAGAACAGCAATGAGAAAACAAGTCACGTTTTTCAATGAATTGTGAGATTCTCATTCTGACTCGAACGAATAAAGGACAAACTTTTTTGTATAATCTTTCTGGCCCCAGTTGTTTGAAGGATGGATAACGCTATACACTGGATAAATCTCTATCCGGTGGATAGCGCAGTACGTTTTGGTAACACTTATCCGCTGGATAGCGATTTATCCGTTGGATAGCGTTATCCGCCCTTTGAACAACCAGAGCCTGGTAATTTTCCCACGCGCCCGCCAGTTATCGCATCTTCTCTTTAGAAGAAAATTTTCGAAATTTTCAAAACCTTAATCATTGGTTACATGATAAAATGCATGTTGACTGACCTATTTTAGTATTTTAGGTCGGGTCGGAAAGGAAAATATTTGAATCTCGTTCGCGATGTAGAGACCTCGATCGGACCTCGGTCCTTATGTGATGACCTCGAGCCAAATATTTTCCCGTCCGGCCCTTCCACCCAGTCAATAAGTACATATTAGAATCATATCATTTCTCTCAATAAATCGAAGTAAAATTGAAGTATCAAATAGATCTTCATACAAACGTTTACATTTTTTGCTAAAAAGAAACGTTTATCTTTTTGTGATCGTCTTTTGCTTACTGAAACTTAAAAAATAAAATACGGGAGATGCAAATAATATGATTCACGCTGATGGCTAAATAAGCCTGGCTCAGTAGACGATTAGACGTTGCATTTTTACTTCGGTTCAGCGTTTAGAACAATGACAATTACTCAATTGATACTTTCCTAACCAGCATCAAAGCACCGGCAAAGTGAAAATTCGTTCAGAGGATCCCGACTGCAAGCAAATAACTTACCAAAAGTTATGAATTTTAAGAAAAAAAGGAGGCGTTTCTCGAAGTGAAACTCAAACACTTACGCCTGCGGATTTGAGTTTACTCTAATCTTTTTTAAGATCCTTAAATACTGATGTATATTCTCAGCCAAGAAGAAAAAGATTTGTGTGACACTGTTATCTAACGGACGCTCCAAGATGATGGCTGCATACGTCTATTGTAGATTCTGAAGTTCTGAAGTTTACGCTTATTGCACCATCCATTAAATCAATGAGAAGGAAACAATCAAGATTGGCTCCAGCCACAATTCGACAACCAAAATAACTCGTCATGAGAAACAGGAGTAATTTCCAAAGGGTATATTCTCAGTATATTTTTTCAGGGACCACAGTTGAACGGGAGAGTTTGACGGAAGAGAGGGAGGGGTATTAAATAGTTTCATTGCGGAAACTCTGGTTTGATATAAGATATATGAAAAGTTGACGTGTGTAAGCTTATTGGCTGATTTATGGATAGCTCAACTGATTCATCGAGATTTTCTTGGATTGATTACTTCAACGAACAGAGAAATTCATGACTACAAGTTTTCTCAGAAGTGCTCTAATATTAACACAACAACTGCAGGATACTTTTTTTTTAAGCTTAATGGCTTCAGAATACAGACTGACGGACTGAAATATGCGACCTTTCGAAGATTTTCTTTGTTCGAATGTCAAAATTATATTGGTTCACCCAAGAAACTCCATTCAAATGCCACCGCCTGTCTCACTTTTTCGACGTTGTCCTCTTTGTACCTAACAAAGTCAACTTCTCCGTCGGCACGCGATGAAACCATGTAAGTCTTTGTATGCTGGTGGATACCACGTTTCCCCTGTGTAGCGATTTTCTTGATCATCGCGTCCTTTCTAAGGTCAACTTGAAGCCAAGGCTTTTTGTCATCAGTTCTTGCACTCCATGCCTTGGCGGAGTTGAGACAAAGGCGATGGGGAGGTGTTTCATTCGTTTCGACAGTGGAGGCAGTAAAAGTTTGGTCTGGAATCCTTCCATCCTCAAGACCTAAGGCCTCTTTGCATGCTTTAAGAAGAAAAGAAAGTAAAAATTATTCAATAAAGAGTACTCATCTCCTTTATATCTGGAATACTCCATTCTAATGCTTCCCTACGGCACAACCTTCCCCCTTCCCCCTTCCCCCTACCCTATGGCTACGAAAAAGCAATAATGCGATCACAGCTTCATGAAGAGGTACACGAAATGAGATAAAGAAGCAATTTGAGTATAATCTGGTCTCATGTGCATTTCCTTTGTGTACTATCTGCAACTAAATCTGAGCGGTTTCACCAGGATTATAAGGCAAAAAGCGAAACCAGTCGATAGGAAACGATTACAGGTTAAAGATAAACCTTCTGACTACAAATTTTTCTTTAGAATTGTCTCGGTTCCGCAGCTTTTAGCATTCTGAAGCGTGCTGTAATTAATGTTACCAGACTTATACCCTTTAGCCTTTCCTTCACGTTCTGCATTCTGACAGGTTTCGTGAAACTGTCAGCATTTTGAATTCATATTTAAGTTCCATTTGAGAATCCTTCAAACAAATAAATTTTACAATATTAATAACAACGCCATCAACAAGGTTTGCGCCTACGGACCTGCTTCGTCTTCGATGCGTACCTTAGGTGAACCTTAGTGAGAATGTGAATATCCATGCCCACCTTTTTCACCAATATTGTTCTCTATTTGAGTACAACTGTAGTTGTTTCCTTGGCTACAAGAGCCCTATAAAACGATAAAACCATTATCTTTGCATTTCCCCCCTCCCCCACAAGCTGGCAGATCACTTCTTGCCCTTCACACTTAAATTCATAGTAACAATGGACTCGACTGAAAAGCGTAGGTCATGTACATAGCTAATTCTAAGGCCACCATGTTTTCAGGGGACGACACCAGGCTTGTGTTATTAAACTCACAAATCTAAAGCGAGCATTGATTAAGCCGTTAAACGTTAGGAAAAGGTTTTAGCGTTTCCTTTACAGTCGCCCCCGCCCTCTAAAAGCTGACAGATCTCCTCTCGCCCTCCACATTCAACGTCAAGGTGACAGGGGGAAAAGGCATTGGTCATATATATTCGGACAATTCAGAGTCCGACATGCTCTCAGGAGACACTATAGCAGTGTTGTTATTCAACTCTCCAATTTTTTTTTTTCGATAATAGTTTATGCTTTTACAATAGGCACCCTCGCCACAGAGAATCACGCAAGATTCAATGGTTGTGGAAGTTCTGGTGGCAAACCCGTGACCTTTCAAGACGCGATTTGCGATGGAGTAGGTTGCCCCTTGGCATTGCGTCATTGAATATAACGTGTATCTTAACTGCCAAGAGATAAGTACAAAAGGCGTTGCTATGGTGCCTTTAATGAGAGGCATAGTCAATGTCCTGCAAACAAAATAAACACAAATACGCTAGAAGGAAAAGTGATGATTTATGGTTAGAAGACTTTCTCCCACCAAAGCTTATTAAACTTTGCATAGAGCTCCTCTGAAATCCGAAAAGAAAACAGGCAAATCATTCTGTCCAAACAGCTAATGTTTGATGATATTCTGTCTCCTCATTGTTGAATCTGTGAGCGTTCCAGATGGTAGAGGACGTAATAAGATGAAATCAATTTGCAAGATATTGAGGAGAATCTTACGACAACGAAGATAAAGGTATGAGACATTTAGTGAGGGGTGCAGTCATTACCCTGGAACCAGAAGAAAAGGTTAAGAGAAATGAAATACATATGAGTTAATCATCAAAAATTTTTTCCTTCCGTTGCAAAGAACTTCAAAGTCCTTTAAAAATGGCGTATGGCACAATTTTCTTTGAAAGAGCTTTGGTTTGGTGATTTGCCATCTCATCGACGACAAAGCTCTTGGCTTTGAATAAAGCAGAAAACTTGTGATTTCGAGAATAAATAGAATGCAGACGACAATGGAACTAAGGACAGGAACAAGAAATTCTTAGTAGGAACGCATTTTATGAAATGTAATAAAAGCAAACCAGACAAGAACGTGAAATATTTGGTCCGTCTCCTTTCACAGAATAATTCAACCAATTGTCAAGGCAAATCTTTATTTGTAAATTTTGTTCCTAACTTTGAGAGGAAACGGAAAAAATCGTTCTCAATAATCAGTTAGTAGTTCCCTTTTTCTTATTTGGTAGTTATCCGTACTATCAAAGTTACTATTTTTTTTCGCTGTTTTCCTTCGGGGTAAAGACTGTTAATCTTGAAGCTTGAGGACTCAAATCCCCCCGAATTCCCTCCATCAGTAACAAATACAACTTGTATTTTAGATTCAGAAACTTACCGCAGCTGAGTTTTCCCTTTGCAACCTCACTTGTCCTTAACTCTCTGCAAGTTCTCCGAAAGTTCTGAGGAATAGTTATGAAATCCGTTCTGAAACACAACAGGGTTCCATTCCATGAAAAACACAAATACATTATTTTTGAAGTGTGGGAGCGCACTAAATCAGACCGCAGTTCATCATTCAACACAGCTAACACCACAGAAAGCCAGCTAGTTTTGATTGAAATATCACAATATTTTCAATCTTAGGCTGTTTCATCTGGAAGGTTAGACAAACTCGCTGATTTTAGAAGATAGCCAATAAACCTCAATTGCAACAACATTAACTAAAACTAGAGGATAAGATACATTTCTTTCGATTTCGAAATCTCCAAGAAGTTGGTGATCTCTATGTGTTTGTGATTTGCTGTGAAGATTCGTTCTATACTTTGTTTAGTTATAGCACTCCAAAATTCAATCTGATCATCCTATTCAAACAATATGGAATAGATAAATACATAAGTTCATGCTTAAAAGATATAAAAGTATACTCGCACCTTTGGTCGACATAAAAATGAGGCCCTTACTAAACGAAGCAATGCTATTTCGTGATAATGAAAGATTTAAAGCTCTGACGTGAAAGAACAATATGAACGTTGCGGTTACAGTACAATTTAATACGACAGTTGAAGTTTAAAAACAAGTCCTTAGTCGCTGAAAAACAGAATTATTATTTAATCAAGCAGGTGGGAAACAACTAGACAAAAAGGAGTTTTTAATTCAATAAAGTGTGCGCAGTTATCATTATCGGTCGAGAAAGTTGTAGTACTAGCCGAACCAAGTTTTAGAACAACAAACAAACCTGGATCTCGTTTGAAGCTAGAAATGGGTTGCTCCCATAGGAGAGAGAGAAAGCTATTAGTATAACATAAGTTAATTAATTGATTGAGGATCGCTGTATTGAAATACGAAAATCCTCTTAGATTAATGACTTCGAAGGATATGTGCATGGAAGACTTCAAGTTCCTCCAGAAACCCTTAAGTTTTAACATAAGTGCTAACTGCAAGAATCCTCGTCTGATTAGTGGAAGTAGGGAATGGAGGAAAAATGTGGACTTGGTTTCCCAGCGTCGTAAATCTACCTATGTCAGTCTTGATTCGGACTCGCTGAATGACCTTAATGACGTTTTAGCTCTGCTGTGTTCAGATGATAGTTACGTGCCGCCTTCGGATGTCGTCATTGCACCTGATGTGGAGATTCCCCAGATAACTAAGAGGCAAGTTTGAAACATTCTCGCAAAACTAAAGAGAACCGCCACTGGACCAGATGAAATACCTTATTGGCTTTGGCCGGATCACGCCGAGCCTTTGACACCGGTAATTACACACGTTTGGAATTTTTCCTTGGCAACCCACTCCTGGCCTACATCCTGGAAGAGGGCTAATATCAACCCCTTTTCAAAGGTTGAGGTCCCCAAGTAGCGGTAAGACTTTTTACTATGGATTTCAGCAAGGCCTTTGACTCTATTCACACTTTAATTTACTCTATTTGCTTCGTTGTTACTCATAATCATATACTTGTTTGAATCAATTTCACTTCTCTAAATTAACAATATTGTAATCTCCTTGTAATTTTTATTTCCAACCTCCTTGATATATTCTAATATTGTCTGCAATCACCCGACTCGATTAGTTTGCTACATTCGGGTGGTATTTCTTTCACTTTTGTATTTATTTATTTTTTTCTTAAATAATAACATTTGTAGTTTTAAAGTGGAATAAAGCATGGTCTCTGTTAAGCATAACCTTCTATCCGCAAAGTTGAAACAATTACCCTTAAACCCGTATATAATTAATTGGTATCATAGTTTTTTGAGTAACAGACAACAGCGCATGGTCATTCTTGTAATCCGAGTAAGTGTAAAGAACTGATATTTAGAAAGAAAGGAAACGGTACACGCCATCAGTACGCCCCCGTCAGTAACATTCCTCATGCGATAGCCTTGTACTGCTCGGTCTCAGCCTAATTGAAAATTCAGCGGCGGAGCATGTTAGACTTAAGCTCACAAAAGCTAACAAGTGTCTCCACATTCTTAGAACTCTACGAAAGGAACTCTTTAGCCAGAAGGAAATTGATCACTTATTTAAGATCCTAATTCTTCCCATTTTCACTTATGGTCTCGCTGTGTATGGTGCTTCTGACTCTAATTTAAATGTTATACAGCGTTTTTTAGACAGGTGCCATAAGCGTCATTTTATCTCTCAAACACAGCATTTTCAATCTTTTAGAACAGCAAGATAAATCCGTTTTCAAAAGAGCTATTGATAATCATACACTAGGTGCGATCATTCCCAAAGAAAAAGAATTAGTATATAATTTGCGTACGAGGTGTCACCTTCCTCAGATAAAAACGAAGAGATTCAAGAAAACTTCTGTAAATAGACTTATCTTTAAATATAATCTAGTGTAGTATTATTCTATCTTATATTACTGTTGTATTTTATCCTGTGTCATTTAATACTTTTTCATTGTAACTTAGGAGATGTATTTTTATCCTTTGATTGAATAAAGACTATTATTATTATCATTATAACACCAAACTGCATAATACATTTTTGAATGTATCGATCATTTACATTAAACGTTCAGTGTTGCCGCGTATAGCTGCTGACGGCCATGAAATTTTATTCAGGATTTATTCTATTTGATCCAAGCATGCTTTTGCCTGGCAAAATCTGTATTTGTATTCTGATCAACGAGCTCATTTATCTACAAATCGCCACAATTGTTTGGTAACTACCCTCTTTGTCTACCTAAAATATGTCAAATTGTCGCCTGAAAAGAAAACAATGTGCTCGCAATTGGCCCATTTGACAATGGAGAGTGAATATTCTCCCTCAAAGTTCTCTAAGAATGAAGCCTGATCTCATACACGTACAGTCAACAAATAGCTTTATTAGTTATACATACTTAGTGTATGGGATATGACCCACCCTTTTGTTTCCAAACTACCTGTGTGGGAAATGACATTTAAAAACAACCACGATCGACCAGTATGGACTTTAAAAGAAAACCACATTGTCATTGATTATAGCAAGACAAAAGAGAGCACGCGCGCAAACGTTTAAAGTACCGTTTAACAGCGAGGCAGTTTGGACAAACAACTGATGTAGAACGAGATTAATGATATCGGAAC